TGTCATGTATTTCGGGGGCTTCACCCCCTAGAACGCTTTCATTAGATTTTGAACGACGCCTGACCACGCCCACTTATTTTATTGTCGGGGACCTCGGACACCCCACCCCCAGTCGGGTAAAATCCGGGCGCCACCACTGCAAGGTTGTATTGCATAGGGCTTAGGCCTATATAAAGGCCTACGTAAATTAAATATTTATTGTTTTTTTGTTTATTTGTTGTTATTTTTTACATACCCAATTATAACTTTGATTTTAACAGGGGAAATTTAGGAGTGGGCCCACTGGGCCCCTTCCCTTGGCCCAAGGGTGGCACCCCCACCCGAAATAAGTATAATTTAATTATAATTTTTATATGTAGGTCTATTCAAATTTTAATTGTTGTGCAATAGGCCTATTTGTAATTAAAAAAACCCACAGAAATAATGGACTCTGTACTGACTGAAGTGGACTTGATATACAAGGCCTACCGTACTCGAGCAAATAAGCGCCCGGGCGCTTAAAATATTGTTTGCATTTTCTGAGGGGCGCTTATTTAAACGGGGCGCTTATGAAAACAGAGTGGAAATGGGGCGCTTATGGAAATAGATGAAAATCGAGGGGTTCTTTTTATGGGAAATTATTATATTCAAGAGGCACTTTTTGAATTAAAAAAAGATTATATAGGCCTGGAAATTACGAATGGTGGTTAGGCGGAAAAGACAATCGTGTAGAGAACATTGCTGCTCATGACAAGAATGCGTGAATATTTAAATAACAGCAATAGCAGATCAATTGTTGTGGGTTGGTTAGCTTGTTGGTCATCGGCCGATTGAGATTAGCAGGATGGCAGGATTGTATTTTTTCTTGAAAACTCAGATGAGAATGTGCTAAAGGTCGGAAAAAGAAAAAAAGGAGTAGGCTAGGTATAGACAATTATGTAAAATAAAGTTGAATACTAGTCTGTCCAGGGATCGGAGCTCTCATCTGTCCAACCAAGAAAATATAGGCTTATCCTAATTTTGATATTGACCTAAGAAGAACGGTGTTTCCACTCTGCAGCTCAAATCATGCCAACAACCACAGTCCCAGGATTGTTGGATTATTGACTTACTAAAAAGAAAATCTTATGATATTATTCAAATTAAAAGGGGCGCTTATTCAAACGGGGCGCGTAAGGAAATTGTCATGTTGGGAGGGGCGGTTATTCGCGAGGGGCGCTTATTCAAACGGGGCGAGTACGGTATCTCTTCACCCTATCCACCACGAAGCGAGTAGTTAGGAAGCATGTGTATTTTACTTCAATTATTTAGCCAAGTCTGATAGTTTTCACTTTTATTTGTTCAAAGACACCACAAGGAACAATTTTCAGCTTATTGTCCAATTTGTAGATGCGTTTTTCACTCGTTGGTGGCGCTTTAAAAAAATGGCGGTTTGTGATATTGGTGCCTATATCTCGGCAACCACTGATGGTAGAAGCTTCTAAATGGTCTCAAAATGTTCACAATATATATATATTACTATTTGTGCTAATAGAAAATTTTGCTGAAAGGCCGGAAATGCCATTTCTGGCGATTTGTCCTTTGACCTTGTATGCTCATATCTCTGTAAATACTAGTCGTACAGACTTGAAATTAATTGCAAATTGTTTGCAATATGTATATTTATATTTACTTTAATGAACATGTTTGTTCAGAAATGCCAGGAAACGTCATATTTGACCTTTGAAAATAAGAAATTTGTGTTTGTATATTCTATAACTGATAGATACTGTTTCAATTTTAAATAAATACTACATTTTTGTACGATTTATCGGAGGTCAAATTGTTATATTGTTTTATATCAGATCCAATGGTAATACTAAGTTTTGATATAAATTAAGGCCACTCATTGTCCACATACAAAATACAGGTTTGTGATTGGCTGAAAGTACATGCAGACTAGAATACAGGACATTTTCT